GAAAATAGATTTTGTGTTTTCCTCACGAAATTCAGGTGGGGAATAAAGTAGGTCGTGCTTGGAAGAAAAGTACATCTACCCAGTGTTATTTTCAAAAAAGCTACAATGATATAGGCTATAATAAAACTTCCCTTAAAGCCTCTTTAAACATCTACTAGTGAATATTAAATCAGCCAGTGAGTTTTGGGGTGTTGTGCTGCCCAGAATAAGCATTTTGTTCCATTTTGTGTAGATGCTACTGAGTGTTTTCCAGTTCTCAGTTACTGGCGTCATTGTAGTGTGTTTGGACTGATTTTGACCTTACCCCTTTGCCCTCTTGCTTTTAAAGTAGCAGGCCGAGGAAAGACTGTCTCTGGTTTCTAAGCCTGCTGAATCACCAGGCTACTTCACGGCCTCATGTTCAGAAACAAAGACTCTTCCCACCCCCACCCCCCCCTATTTTTTCTTCACTCCCAAGAAAGCAGAGGCTGAAAGGCAGAAGTGTTTGTATTCTCTGCAAAAAAGCAAAGCAAAACAAAACAAAATCTCTTTACATGGAACAGGTTTGAGGCTTTTGATGCTATAGTGTGTATGTAAAGAGAAAAAAACAACTTAAACAAAAAAAGACTCCATCAAAAATCCCTACTGCTAAAAGCTCCATTTTATTGCAGACTGTATCAGATCGAAAGTGCCACAGAACAGCTGCTGCAAAGGCCGAAGGTCTTAATGGTTACAGCTTGCATTGGAAACTCAGTCCTGCCAGATTTTCAGTTAATGAAAATATTTACTTCAAGCAAAGTAAATAAAGTTTATGGACAGAATTTTTAATTAGGATTGAAACTAAAATTCCCCATTTCATCTTCCTACCCCTAATTTTTTGTCTGGGTCATGCTATGGAAGAATATTCCAACTGGTGTTTTAAGAAAACAGACTGCCTTTCTAGTAATTTTCCTTGTTTTATATGTCAGATGACATCATTGGAGTTTAATCTTCCCTAGCCCCCACATCATGGTATTTTTTTTTTGTTCTGGAAGTTAACTGATCTTTTTGGGGCTTTGTCTAGTCTGCAGAAGTATCCCTTTGTGAATAGGGAGAGGAAGAAATTTAAGTCACAGAGAGGTTATGTTCTGTTTTAAGCACCCAGACCTCTTGACTCTTACTCAGGCTAATGTTCTGGCTACTGTACAAAGTAATGAGAGAGTTTTTGCAAAGTGTGTGAAAAATTAGCTTTATGTGCACTACATTCTTATATGTTGGTGGTGCTTCCTGGTGCCCCACACCTGTTTTGTGAAATGCCTCTAGTAGTGGAAGACTTGAGTCCCAGGTTTTGACAAATAAAATGAGGCTGGGGGATAGCTGTGGTCTCTGGGTACACTGATAATTGAGTTTGCTCTTTTTTTGATACCGGAAAGTTGGATGGCATTGATTTCTAACTTCACATCACTGTGAGGCAAAACAAACAAAAACCCTCCACTTGATGTACTTTCAGACCTCACTCCCTTGGAACCCACCACAACATGCAGTTGAGCCTCATTTCCTTGCTTAAAAATGATTAAACTGTGGACAAAAGAAAGAGGGGAATGGATAGAGCCTTTGTGTTTTTTAACCTGGTCTCAGGCAATGACTTTTCAAGCCTGAGGTTTAAGGTGTTGGAGCGAGACAAGTCATTTCTAATGTCTTCACCACCTCTGACAGTTGGTGCCTAGTGGGCTAATATACGAATGATAGGGGCGGGTGATGATGAAGATGGGAAGGGAAAGCAAAGAGATCCCTACTGACTCCATCAAATATTGTATTGTGTATTGTATAGTATGTTATTAAGCATTTTCATGATGGTGGTTATTTGGGTTAACTTCTAATAATAGGGATTTTTTTTGGTGATCTTTTAGTTCTGGAAAGATGCTGATTAATGGTATTTGGTCATTTATACGTATGGGGTTTGGTCATTTAGATGTATAGTTTGTGGTTCCCAACTCTCAGTTAAAACCTTTCCAAAACAAATGGTCCTATTGGAGACCAAATGCAGTTTTTTTGGTATTTTTTTCTATTGGCTTTTTAAAAAAATATACTTGTTATGGAACCCAATGGTTTTTCAGGAACCGCATGACTGTTTTGAGTGGGCTAATGAAATAATAGAGGGAGCCTGCTCCCAGGCTGGGATCTGTTTCCATGGCACAGTGTCTTCTCCCCAATCCACTATCTAGTTTGATCTCTCGCCCTTGCTGGGCACACACTGATTTTTTTCATTGTATAGTTGGCTGTCATGCTGTGCTCTGGCCCGGCCCCCCCCCCCGCATTTGTTTGTTTCTTTATTCAAAAGCCCTTTTGTAGAGTGGGTTACTGTCCAACCTCAAGCTCCCTAGGATGCAGTTGGGCAGTTTGGAGCTTGTCATTCTGGGTTCATCCCCTCTGAGCCTTTTCTGCAGGGCTGTGTTGCTAGTGTGTTTCCCTCCAGACCAGTAGACTTCCTTTCATTTTCCATGGCAATGACAGAAAGGAATAGTAAGAATAATTGAAGTTTGGAAATAAGTATCAGCTTCTCATGAAATCGGTTGTTTCAACTTCCTTCCCCCAGACCTTTATCAAGATAAACAGATTTGTCTGCCTAAATCCCTCTGTGCAGCTCTTAAAGGCACAGTGCCCATAGCACATGCAAGAGCTGAAAAATAAACAGCTCTGTGGTTATGTCTTTATGGGTGCCCCTTTTACCAGTACACGCTGTAATCCTTCTGTATTGGAGCTGTTGCTGCCAAAAAGTTTATTGCTATTCAGCTCCTCCAAACTTAAACTGGTTCTCAGACAAAAAAGCACATCCCCAGTCATCTTTATTATCATTCAGTCAGAGTTGCTTGTAGCATACTTTTGGTCTGCTAGCAGCTATAGAGAGCCCAGGGCTAGCTCTCTAACACAATGGGCTATTGGTTGAAAACCTAAAAGGAAATAGAATTCCTTAAGTTAGATCTTAAAAAATGATATTTAATAATTAGGATGGTGTTTGGCCTTTCTTCCTTGCCTGCATCAGGTAACAATGATTAGTAACAGTGAAATGCTCCCACTCCCAAAATTCAAAGGGAACAAAGGAACAAGCATTTATTTTTTTATTTTTTAGGCAGTTGGGGTTAAGTGACTTGCCCGAGGTCACACAGCTAATAATGTCGAATGTTTGGTTTGAGGCTAGATTTGAACTTAGATCCTTCTGACTTCAGAGCCGGTGCTCTATCCACTGCGCCACCTAGCTGCCCCGAAATGAGCATTTATTAAGTGCCTCCTGTGTGCCAAACCCTATGTAAATGTTTTTACCAATTTGGACAGGACAGAAAAGCAAAAGCTTTCTTTCATCCAGATGCTTGAAATTTCCAAGGATACCACTGCAGTGTCCATATTTTTTAGGGTTCTGCCCATATACCTTATGTTTCAATGGGGGAACAATCACAGAATGTGAGAGCTGCAAGGAGCCTCAGCAATCATTGTCATGGCCCAGTAAAAATAACACTGGATTTGGATTCCAGAGAACTAGGTTGAAATCCCAGCTCTCCAGTTATTACTTGTATGACCAAGGGGAGGTCATTTCACCACTCTGGGCCCCCTCTTTAAATAAGGGAATTGGATTGATGATTTCCGACCTGCTTTCCAGGTCTGATTTTATGATCCTTCAAACTTTTATTCATTCATTTGTTTGTTTATTGATGCAGATGAACAAACTGGCCCAGAGGGGTTAAATGTGCTGACTTAGTGTTACAGGATTAGTGGAAAAGGAAAGGAATAGAATTTAGGTCTTCTAACTTCAGTTTACTAACTCTTTCTTCTGAATCATGCTGCCCTTCCCAATTATATTTGTATTCAGTAATTCAGCTAGGTGTCAGCTACATTAGATAATAAATTAGATAATAATATTTAGATATATTAGATGATATGTACATATTATATAATAGATAGCGATGATGATGATGATAATAATAATAATTAGATAATAAAATAAATTAGAATATTGTCCAGTAGCAGCAGATGATAGTTATACACTGCCATGTGAAGATCACTGCCCAAGTACCAAGGGACCTGGAGAGGGGAGATAATATAAGGTCCCTGTCCTCAAGGACCTTAGTTGTCTAAGAGGATCGTAGTACCATGGTACAAGAAGGCTGGATGTGGAGAATTGGGAGATTTGGGTTCATACCCGGATTCTACCTCTGACTTCTAATTCAACTATAAGCAGGCAAGTTACTTAGCTTCCATTTCCTCATTTGTAAAATTATTTTGGTACCTACCTCCTAAGCTTATTTCTCAGACCCAAATGAGCTAATGTAGATAAGCTATGTTGCAGATTTTCAAGCATTATATAAATGCCAATCTTGTTGATGTCACCACCACCAATCACCAACATCATTGGCACCTCTTTTTCCAAAGCTAGTTTGTTATTGGTTTAGCTCTAAGCGTGTATATACCTGTTGGGTGGAATGTTTTAGAGAAAGAGGGATAAGAGTCTCTTCCAGCTAAAAATAGCTCTTTGAGTGGTGATAAGGAGAGTGGGACTAGTACGTCCAGCCTAACCTTATTGTACCAGAAGGTCAAATAGCTTTAGAACTGACCTTGAAGTTAGAATTCTTTTGGGGGGGAAAAACTTTCTTTTGAAGATTTAATAAGAAACAAACCTCTTGAGAAAGTCCCACATCAAGCCTGAGGTTACAATAGTATCTCTAGAAATTTTATGGACTTCACCTCTCCTTAGCTCTGAACCTTTCCATTTCTATCCTGTGAGGTAGATGAAACTAGACCAGCCTTGGAAAGTTGGGACGAGGTACAGGTCGGTGAGATATTCAGTGCATGACATTTGCTTTATAATGAGATCTTCACTTGTCTCTTGACAGCTTAAATTAGAGGGGTACCAGGCTTGCTAAAGAGCCATATATGTTTTATGTGGTCTTAGTGTAATTAAATTCTAAGTGTAGGTTTTATGAAGGTAATTTGTACATGTTTCGATCTGTAATGGATAGCCTAAGACATCTTTTCTTTACTTCCAACAGGTGACTTTTGTGCTGAGAATGCACCTCAAATTATCAGCGCATCTGGCCACAGAACAGATTTTTCCATAAGTAATATTTCGGGAGGAGAAGACGCATGCAGGACAAACTTCACAAAAGGAGTTTCCATGTCTTTGCCTTCATCTCCCTTGCTGCCTCGTCAGTCTTATTTGGTGCAGTCGAGATCGAACAAAAAATCTCCAGGTAAAAAACTAACAGTACAAATTGTGAAGAAACAGTAGTATCCCATTTAATTTTTTAAAGCAAAAAAAAAAGGTGTGGTTTTCATAAATATATAGAGACAGTAAACAAAACTGTTACCTAATAAGAATACTAACATTAAAGAAAAGGAAGTGTTTGGAAATGAAATTCATCCCCTTCCATAGATTATTTATTTTAATTTAAGCATTCATCTTTTTTGAGTGTCCAGAGTATAGTTTCCAAAAGTGGGTTTTTAAAAAATGTTTGTGTTTTGCATAGTACCAGTAATAATATTTGGTTTCTTGATGCTGAACTAAGGACTGTTATGGCTGAAGCTCATTTGTAGCAATTTTTAAAAATGTACAGATTTAGCCAAATAAAATTTGTGGACATTTAGTTTATTACCAGCGAGCATTTTTTGGCTACTTGAAATATTGAATGAGGTGACCTTGTAAAATCACACAATTCAACAAATCCTGTATCTTTAAACTCATTATTACTGTAAAATAAAGTCAGTGTGGAAAAGTGGTGAGGAGGGGAAAGAGACCTGTGTATGTAACACCTGATAAGTCAGGTGAGTTTCCTGACTGACTTCTAGGTTTCTCCCTGTTTCTTTGTGACTGCAAAGGGGCGGGTAGCCAAGGTGATTTTGTGTGCTCTGGGGTCATTGCTTGAATGTCAGGTAACAGTTTTCCAAAATGCTGATGCCTAACATTGTTCATCCTTCTCCTGCTTGCCCCTCCTTATTTTCCTACCCCTCCCCAAAACACCCTGCGCCTAGTTAGACACCTGCTTGAAGGCTGGATGAGTTTATGCCCTGTTTGTCATTTGCAAGTACAAAGATGCTTCTAGATTATATGAAATTACATTTGGGATCTCTGAAATGTGACTATACTGAGCTTGTGAAATTGATGTTTCTATTCTTGTACTCAAATTTTGGCTTCCTAATCACTTGTATTTAAATTTGAACAGTCATTATTTAATGCCCATTAGGTTTAAAGCATTGAGTGGATATAAAGACGTGTTATAATTGAATACTGAGAGTTTGTTAGGAATTGTGAGACCTAGTTAACTTCAAGGGAACATCTGAAATCTCTTTCTCTTGCCTCTATCTATCTTTCATTCCACAGCCCCCCTCTTACCCTGCTAGGGTATCCTACGGGCTCTATCCTGTACCCTTACTCTTCTGTTGCTACTGGTGATATCATCCCTTCCATGGATTCATAGTGTCATCTCTTATAAAAAGAACTCCCAACTCTATGTATCCAGCCCTAAACTCTGTCTGAACATAAGTCCAAGTCCCTCCTGACCATTAGGCAGGGAGCTGGGTTGGGATACCACCTCTGACCTTGGGCAGGTCCCAGTCTCCTGGGTTGTATTTTTCTCATACATAAAATGAAGGTTTTAGACTCGATGACCTTTAAGTTCCCTTTGGATTCTAAATCTATGACCTCAGATGCCTTTGAGGTCCCTTCCAGTCCTAGAGCTAAGATCCTATTGTCTCATCTTGAATGTCTCCTAGACATCTCAAATTGTGTGCCCTGTCCTGAATCTGTCTCTGCACGCCCCACTTTCCCTCTCCCCCCTTCCAAACTCCTCTCTTTCTATTTAGGGAATTACTATTCCAGAGTCACTCAGGTTGGTGACTTAAAAGCCATGCTTGAACCATCTTCCTCACTAACTCTTAAGCTCCAAATCCAGTCTAAATATAAGATGTCAAGTGTGGTTGATTCTAACCCTACAGCTTCTCTGGCCCCTTTATCTCTGTCTGTCTCCTCACCCCTAGTTCATATTTTTGTCACCTTAGACCCGGACTGCAATAATAACCTGCTAATTGATCTCCCAGCCTTCAGGCCTTCCCCTCTTCTCTCCAATTTCATCAGAACTGTAAAAATAATCTTCCTAAGGTGCTACTAGTCTGAACATCTCATTGTACTTCTCAGCAACCTGGAGTGGTTTCCCTCCCATTGCCTCTTGGAGAAATACTCCTATCACTATCTGGCTCCTCCCTACCTTTTACCCTTATTTCATACTCCTCTTCCAGGCAAACTGCACTACTAGCTGTTCCCTGAACTCTGCTGTCCATTTCTTATCTTTGGGCATGGGAACAGGCCATCTCTTCTGCCAGAAGTGCATGCCTGACTTCTCTTTCTTTGGCTCTCAGAATCCTCGCCTAACTTAAAGAGGCAGTCTGGTGGTGAAATTAGAAAGCTGGGCCTGGAGTCAGGAAGAGCTGAGGTCAAATTCACCCTCAGATGTTGAGTAGCTGTTTGACCCCAGGCAAGTCAATTCCCCTGTCTACCTCAGTTTCCTCAACTGTAAAATGAGTATTAATAATGGCATGGATCTTCAGGGTTAAACCTCACAGAGCTGAGAGGCTTAAATAATGAGGTAATCTTTGGCACAGTGCCTGACAAATAGTAGGTGCTTAATACTTTTTCCTTGCTTTCTTCCTTATTTCAGGGTCCAGCTCCTTTGCCCATCTCCTCGGTGAAGCCTTCCCTGATCCCCCCCTCCCAACTGTTGATATCCTCTTCTTCCTCAGTTTACCTTAACACATTTATTTGTGTACATATTGTGATTTTCACCCTATTCTATGGAGAACTTAGGATTCTTGAGAGTTGAGACTGTTTGGTTTTGGTCTTTATATTCCCAAGTGCCCAGACCAATGCCTTGCACATAGTAGGCACTTAATAAATATTAGTTTGGATTATCATATTGCGTTTCATCATGTAGGAGTTCTCTTGTAGAAAATGTTTTTTTAATGGTGTCATTCCCTCTAGTTTGGAAATCTCTTTTGGTATATAGAGATTTTTATTGCAAAGACAGCGATTGTAAAATTATTTGACCTGTTTGTCAGTAAGTATTTAGCTAGTATTTAGGGAAATGATTTATTATCTGGGGGATTAGAGCCACTTTGCAAACAGATTTGATGTGGGTTGCAAAAGTAATTCTCAAATCTATTCTGGATCCTCATGTAATATGGAGCTATTTCTTGGACAATTCTCTCTGTTATCCATTGCTGTCAAATAAATTGCTGCTATTATTAGAGGCCTGTAGCAAGTATTAGAGGTATGTTTGTATGTGTGTGGGCAGTTACTGGTATGCTAGAACATAGGTGGCAACTGGACAAGATGGTCAGAAAAAAGTAGGATAGGGAGCTTGGTCAGCGCAGAGAGGTCTGACAAGCGCTGTATGTGAAGCAAATCAGGCCAACAGAGATCCATCTTTTGTTCCTGACTTTATTTATGCATTTTGGACAAATTTCTTTCTACTCTTATTTCTGTTCCTTCTTGTTTTAAGAAAATACATCCCATCGGGTTCAAATTAAGTTCCTTTGAATGCTGTATTAATGTAGGACAGTGGGTTTTCCACTGTATCCATCCTTATTAGAATGAATAAAACATGGTTCTTTTATTTTTGCAGATGAATAATTTATGTGAAATAGGGAGTGGCCCTTCCAAGAGGGAATGGAATTTTAGAGTTGGAAGGGACTTTCATAGCCACTCATCTAAACCATTCCTGAAAAGTATCCCACCTGAGAGCTTTGGGTCTGGAGCCGTAAGAGCTGGGTCTGTCACTACCTGCATGACTTTAATCACTTCACTTCACCATTCTGTCCTCACTTTCCTCATCTGTTAACTGAAGGGATTGGGTTAGATGACCTTGAGGTCCCTTCCAGCTGGGAGACCATGAAACCCATGAGACCTTTACTTCACCACCTCCAAGTGGAAACCTACTACTTCTGAAAAAGCCACCTTTACTTTTGGAAGGCCCTAACTGCTGTTACGTTTTTTCTCATATCGAGACTAAATATGCCTCTTTGTATCTTCTGTCCATGATTCCTTGTTTGCCCAAGTAGAACATGTATAATTGCCCTTCTAAATGACAGGTCTCAAATAGCTGTTACGGCTCTCCTGAGTCTTATCTTCTCCAGACTAAACATCCTCAGTTTTTTCAACTTCTCCTTTTGTGATGTGGGCTTATGTCACTTCACCATCCTGATTTCCCTCTTCTGAATGCTCTCTGGCTTGTTATTGTTCTTCTAAAATGTGATACCCAGTGCTGAACACAATATCCCAGATAAATTCTAACCCAGAGCAGAGTACAGCAGATGATGCCCCCTAATTCTAGATGTCATGCCTTTCACAATGCAGCTGAAGTTTGTAATTGTTTTCTTGGTTATCATATCATCTTGTTGACTCATTGAGCTCTTAGGCCACTAAGACACCAAGATCTTTTTCAGATGAACTACCTCTTTTATTGTACTTGTTGAATTGAGTCCAAGTATAAGATTCTATTTCTATTCCTGTTGAATTTCATCTAATTTAATTTGCCTCAGTGTTTCAACGTGTCAAGATATTTTTGAATCCTGCCTTCTCCTTCCAGCTCTGTGTGAATTGTAAATTTGATAAATATGTCCTTTAGGCCTTTGTCGTAAAAATGTTAAAATAGGTCTAAGCCACTGAGTCAGTAAACATTTATTAAGCACCTACAGTGTGCCAGGCACCGTGCTAAACACCGGGAGACAGCATGCAAAAAACTGTGCGCCAACATAGATAATATAAATTAGAGATAATCCACGGTATATATTGCTGTGATAAATCATAAATAATTGACAGGATAAGTCAGAAATAATTGACCGGAAGGCACAAGAGTTAAGAGGGGTTGGGAACGGCCCCCTGAAGAAGGTGGGGTTTCAGTTGGGACTTGAAGGAAGTAAAGGAAGTAAGGAGGCAGAGAGGAGGCAGGAGAACATTCCAGGCATGAGGGACAGCCAGTGAAAATGCCTGAGGTGGGAGAGGGGACTGTATTGTTTGTGAAACAGTGAGGAGGCTGGTGCCACCCAGAGTGTATTTGTTGGGGTGTAAGGTATTAGAAGACTGGAAAGGTTGGGGTAGGATGGGAAGGACAGGTAGTGAATGTCAAATAGATTTGTATTTGCTTATGGAGGTGATACAGAGATTCTGGAGTTTATTGAGTAGGTGGGGGGGTGGGAAGAA